GCACGATAAAGATGGTATAAATAAATTGTTAAATTAATTGTTTTAGTTGAAAACCCTGAATAGTGGAGACCACTTGAGAAATATTGGCGTAGATAGCAGAATAATACTAATATGCCTTTTAAAAAATAGTATGTAAGGATGCAAACAGGATTTATCTGTAAGATTTGAGGTTTTTACAGCGATGAGTATGAAGATTTCTGTCTTCTGGGTTCTTGCGCTGTGTAGTATGGTCGATGTTATTCATCGCCCTGATGACGGAGGCAGTATGATCTCTGAAACGTTGGTTAAAATCGATCAGACTACACTGCTCAACAACCCAGAAGACAGAAATCTTTAGGATTTATCTGGCTTAGGATAGGGAGCAGTGGCTTCCTGTTGCGAACACGGTAATAAATCTTTCTATGCTAAGTGAAGGAATGTTAGTTACTGAAGGGCTTTGCTCCGTGGCGTTAGATTGTAATGCATTTATATTAACAGATTTAATTATTTTTTCATATCATAAGGGATAGAATTCATAGGCTATAAGCAACGCATGAATTTTTGTGATTAAAGCGATAATGTTAATTAATAAATTATTCATATATTGTGATTTATGGCTGCTTACCGTTAACGAATGACTGATGAGATGTGATTATGGCTATTGACGTTTTAAGATTTCTTATTATTTCTTATTATTGCAACGTTTCGTCACCCTCCGTGATGAAAATTAGCCACCGTCCAAGTTCTGTAAGCTACTTAGTTTGAAGTGACTAATTATTAAAATTAGCAAATACCAAACAGGAACCGACCAAGACTGGCTCATTGCCTACGTTTAATGCTGTAAACTATAGGAAACTCGTTTTTAAACAATATAAATTAAACCTGGTATTGAAAGATTATTAAAGTAAAATCAGTATCAAATATCTGACTAATGATTGATTTCTAAAGATAATCTGTGAGTAAATATGTTAACCTCTTTGCAAAGGTAAGTTACTAGCATTTGTAATAGACTGTTGTGAAGATTACAAAAATTATTTCATTTATAACCCTGCGTCCTATGATTCTGTTCGAAAGGATAACACTGGCCGATGTAAAGTGAAGATGTTCCGAAGAACAATGCTGAAGAGAACATACACAGTGATGCAATTCATAATTTGTACTGTTCACGGAATATCTGCAGGACTATCAAATGGAGGAAAATGAGATCGGCAGGACATGTAGCATTCAAAATATCAGTAGTAAAATCCGAAGGGAAGAGGTCGGTTAGGAAACCTAGATGTAGATGGAAGATTGATATTTTGGTGGGTTTTAGAAACGTAGGGAGTGACGGTGTGGATTGGATTCAACTGACTTAATACAGCGAAAAAGGTCGAGCTCTTGTGAACAAATAATTAGCCGTGGGAATGTTGAATAGGCTTGAAATATCTAGACTGCCGGGTTTTTGGATATTGTAGGCGTAACAGAAATGTAATGTATCATTGGTAGACACCTCTCATCAATCATATAGATACTATAGGCGTAATTTAAATTCTGTGGTGTCATTAAAAAACTTATTCTTGAAATTATTTTACTCTTCATCATGTCTCATTACGTTTTCAGTCCTTAGCTATCTTCGTATGTTATATATTAAAACTCTGAGTTTTGAGGGAGATAACGTTTGTTAGTTTTGTGGACCTGACAGAACTTCTCACAGAACCAAATGAACCCAGAGTGTCAGCGGATGCACAGTCCTGTTAGCGTACTAGTGTAACGTGCGGGGAATGTAAAGTGTCTGTGATTGTTCGTAATAATATTTGTCATGACGGAAAAGAATGAAACATTTTTCAGCATTCCGTCTGTAGTGAAACCAGTCTGTTGGTAAGTAACCAAATGCGTCGTTTGGTTAAATTCGTTCCTTGCCACTACAGCGCCAGTTAATTTGGCGTGCAAGTGCATTAAAAGATTGATTGAAGCGTAAATTATGTAACGATTCTTACATCAATGTTTGTTGCGTATTCTCGAATGACTGTCACAATAATTATGTCACGTGTACGGGCAAAAGTAGAATAGGAAGTGATGGTGGCCTACTTCAGGGTACAATTGTATCTTTCAGTTCCAGCGTTTGAGGAAACTCACGAAAAACCACTGCCAATACAGCCGGTATCTCTCTAATAAAACACTGCGCATTACATCTGAGCTAACTTATTGATCAAAAACTCAACAAACGTGTTAGTGGTGTGTCGTTAATAATCAACCTTCTTATTATGATCTGTCTATGACTTTATTATACACGCAAAATATTTAACGTGGTTCTACTTAAGGACTTTGTCTCTGATCCCGCACTTGACTAGACTACGTAGAAATATATCTAATTTTTTTTTTTTGAGATTAAACTACAGAATGTTGAACCATTGGTGTGCCATTATAAATGTGCGTTCCGATTACTCTTGACATCAGTTCGGAAGTTCCACATTATTCAATTTTCTCCGTGCTACTGGTCCCCCGATCTCTTGGATCGAATTATTCTTCTCAGCAATCTGTTCTCAATTATCCTCGGCCTATGATCGCCTCTTCGGTTGAGAGACGAAGCTTAGCACCCATACACAACAACGCGCATCGTACGTATGTCATTAAACTGAAAATATATTAAAGGACACGAAATAAAATTTTATAGTCAAAAGGTTTATAGCAGGTCTTATTTTAAAAATTAACTAATTAAAATGGTGTTACAATTACGTGTTTAAATATGTATTATTTCACTCACAAGAGTCCACCTCTGCCCCTAATTTGAGCTGCATGAATTCATTCCATATTTTCATAGCTTGTTTATTTAACGTTCATTTAGATATTATTCTTCGTGTCTACATCTTGTTTTCCAAAGTGTCCTCTTTCCATAAAATTTTCATATTACATATTTATTGGATTTATTGCCTCTCGCATTTTTGCTTGCATCGCATTATTCTTAATTTGTTCATCCTAAAATAGCCTACAAGTTATGAAGCTCCTCATCATGAAATTTTCTCCAACTTCCTGTTATTTCCTCCTCCAAACAAAGACTAAGTCCTAAATCATTTTAAACAGCATTTAAATTGTGTTTGCGGGTTTTTTTATTCTAGCTGCTGTTGAATGTTTCGGAATGTGGGTCTGGCACGTGCAAACATGGCCGATGCTATGTTCACTGCCTTCCTTCCTTCTAACACCGGGTTTCTGTGGATTACAACCTAATACAACTATCTCTAATGGCGCAGTGCTGTTGCTATCCAGACTTTATTCTAATAACTAGAAACCCAACCTTCCCTTCCACATTCAGACAATTATTCTGTTACATTTATTAATTCTACATAAATAGTACAAATTATCACTCACAAATAAACTACATACTCATTAATAAGAAATCATTTTCCACTAAAAAATAGTACTCTGTACTTCCTCGTTTCAACACATTTGTAAACATTCTCTTGCCCTTTACTTAGAGACTGTCACCCTTTCTTAAATCCTTTCTACATCCCTCTCAGTTATCGAATACCAGCCAACTTCTCGCATTCTTTCGAACACAATCATGTACAGATTCATGTGACGTCATGCCAGCAGATAGCAGAGTTTATTGTACGAACTCAGCGTGTAAAATACGACGGGGGAGTGAGGGCACGTAAATCATGGACCAATTAACATTTGTCCATTATAACATGTCTTATATCGTGATAGGAACAACCATTAATGATATAAGCCTAATGGCGAGACTTAAATTCTCTTAATTACGGATAATTTTAAGTTCATGGCTGAGTATTCGCATAAAATTACACGCAAACACGCAACACCTAACATTTTATATTTTTCTTTAGAATTGTATATCTATTAAATGCGTACGTGTTCACTATAATAATCGAAATTTTAAACAAAAGGCGCTGAAATTTTTAATTTTCACAGTATTAACGACGTGATTGCAATTACGTAACGACGTTGATGATGTCATTGCTGTGTACGAGACGTTCTGTTTTAATGGGCGAATCACTTGCTCCTTAACCGTTGAAGATCCTTATATGAGAGACACTCGACTCATTTCAGCTGTTATTTCCAGTATCTGCAGACGAATTTCAGGGTACTACTATATGAGAGCGTGTTTTTTTTTTTCGAATTCATTCGACTTATTCAAAATTATCCTCATAGACCTTCTTCGGCGCCAAGTAACTTGGGTATCAGATTTTGAGCGTTACCATTATATAAACTCGGAATGTAAATATCGTGCGATTTAAATGTGATTTCTAATAGAATTCAGGTTTAACTTTTTTAACTTCTCTAAATTTGTAGAAGATTTTTATTATATTTTTAAGCAGTTTAAATGTTTTCATTTTCTGATAGTAAGGAGTAAAATTATAATACATCTTCTCTTTTATCTGGATAATTACTCAAAATGAAGTTCATTACAGACTCCATTGTGGCGACCCCCACCGGGAAATCTGTCATCTCATTAGAATTTCCGTAACCAGTCTGTTGAATTTTACAGCAGTTCAATTTCGTATTCATGTAATTTCGTCTTCAAAGGTGTTGTTCCTCAGCAAAATAAACAGTTTTAAATTAAAAATATGTTTACGCCTGAAGTTTCAATAACCAGGAAACTATGCTCTGGACTTCATCTTGGTGAGTCTTCGATCTAGGGGATTCTATTCGTTAAACTCTTACCTGTCCCTGCACAAAGATGCTTCTATGTTAAATCTGAGATTTTCGCTATAGGGAACATTTGGATTGTGGAATTCTCAGTTAAGACGCCATGTAGTCTTGAATGTGGTTACCATCATTTCAGAGTAACGTATGGTCTCCGTCTTCAGGGCAGAACTTCGAATTTCACGTATGAATACATTCAGAAGTAAACAGTAGTTATTCCGTATTTTATGCATTGCAGGGTTAAAAATGGCATCCTCCTTTCTTCGGTATTACGTAACGAATAAGAATGTCACTTAGAGGCAGGCAACACAGGCCTATTTTATTTTGTAGCTTTCGTGTTCCTTGTAATCTCCGTCAAATTTTGTGCATTACAAAAGGTTTAGGGGAGTCGACTGGGTGTCTACAGGTACGAAATATCAGAATTATTTCCTGATCTGTGCAACTACAGGTTGCGTAGCTGTTCTTGACAGAAGGAGAAACAGAATTAACGTTTTTAGGCAAGCCTAGTAAACAGATTTATTTCTTCTCTTTTCTATGTTTTATTTAACAATATAAAAAACTTCAGACAAAGTGCCTTCGTGAAATAATTTATTATACTACTTCTGCATTAAACCCAGTTCATCCTCTCTTTCTGGTCGTTGCGTAAGAAGCCATGTAGTAAATGAGACTACGAGCACAGTAAGGCGATTAAATTCTTTGTTTTTTCTGTCCCTGTACAGTATTTTGCCCTTGAAGTAGCCTAAGTTATTAATTACAAAGTTCATATATATGTATGTATGCGTCGTACACTAAGAAATATTTCATATATTGATTTTATCTTCAAATTCACTTTAGAGCTTGCTGTTACGAATGGCGTACTGGTTCAAGCTGCTACATCGCAGAGGCACCCACTCAACCCTTGAAAACTTTGTTCAGGGTCCATCTTGAGAAACTAATAGGCATTCGGTTACACAAGAAATCCCCCGTCTTTTATGGAACCCGAATGTCCATTACAGTGTTCATGAGAAGCCACCACGGGTCTCTGTCTTGAGCTAGACGAATCCAGCCTACGCTTAACGTGTTAAGCGCGTCCCTTGGTGCGTCTTGAGGTTGCGGACAGAGACGGCTTTGAGATCTGGAAGGTATTTGCAAATATTTTGAATAAGCATTCGCAGACAGCCGACAAGGGATGATTCTCCATCTTGGAGTTGGAGAGAGACGAAAAGCTTCTCACCGTAAAAACCAGCATGCTGTAAAATGTAGTGTTTGCTGTTTCTGAAGATCGGCCTGAAATGGTCTGAAGGCGGCTGAGCTCAAATAAAGAGTTCATCAAATTAATACCTGTTTATACTGTAACTGAATATTAAAATAATTAAATTATGTAACAAATTTCGCGTTTAATTGCTTATTCTATAATACCAATAATGTACTTCCTTATGAGATATACGACTAGTCTATAAACTATCAAATGTATATACATAATTTCTCAAGTCAATATGTCTTTTCTTTTTGGATGTGACGAAATATTTTATTTAATTCTTTCCTCACGTAACTTCTGCGATATTCACTTTATAAGATATTGTTTTATCGCCGTTTTACATAAACTCAGGTTGCGAGCTCAGGGTTTTTCTTTCACTCAAGCAGTGTAAGCAAGGTCGTTAAGATATTTAAAAATTAAACTGCGCAGATCAAATAGAAATATTGACGAGTTAAAATATTCTATAATTTTAATATTCTCTCCACATCCTTTTATTTATTTACAATGACTCCGCTTTTTATCGTCGCGATGCAGGAAAAAGTTTACGGGAAATACAATTATTTATCACTGTATGAATAATCGGTGGATTTGTTTCGTCTGTACTGTTTCGACACGTATAAGATGCCTAGAGCTACCGATATTAGTCACTCTCCACCGAACTGGCCAGTCGTAATCAGTTGTTTGACCAACAGCTAGTTGTTCATGGCGGCTTTTCATGTGAAGGAATGTCTGGTGAGTTGAATTTTTTTTATCTGATCAGTAAACTGAGCCATTGTTTGATATGTATGGTTTCCATGGCTTTGAGGATGAAACCGTTCTTCTGAGTTTCGGTTCCGCGTAGATTCGTCGATAGAAATCAACGTTTTGCAGAACAATACTGAATACACTGACCTTACTATATCTATCTTCAGCCCCAAAGGTGGAGACAGCATAATTCTCCGAAACGTTGGCATATATCGACGAATCTAAACGGCGTCGAAACTCAGAAGAATAATATCATCATGAATCATTGTTTGTTGGCCCTTGATTGAACGCTTGTTGTATTATATTTGCATAGCTGGTCTGGTACAATATCTGTCGTTATCAAATCCAAATCATAGACTGCTTATTTAATCATAATTAGGATCACTATAATCACACGTATACAATATTTCAAAATTCTTTATCGAATATCGTACAGACTTAGACACGTGGCTTTACGACTGTGATTAATATGAGGGAATTAATCCAGTAAATACAGTAATTTTATATTCTATTTGAGATGGGGTTACTGTCTTATACTTGAGCATTTAGACATGATCCATCAAAATTCGTCACATTTTGATAGAGAGGTTAATTAGTATTAAAAATATATTAAAATTGGCCGTCAATCACAATATAAGATAATTAAAAGATTAAAATATCATTTTTCGTTCCTTATCGAGTACTCGATTTACATGTGGAACATTTACGACATGTTTCGGCTATCAATAGTGCCATCATCAGGTGTTATGTTATAAACTTTTTAACAGAATTACTGAATTTTACTGAT